GGCCCCCCCCCTGCCGCTGCCGCAGCTGCAATGGCAGTGGCAGCATGGCCTGGGGCACCATCGTCTGGGGCAGGGGCTGAGTGGATACACCATCATAAATAACTACATGATGACCCTGACCATTAACAAGAAGTCATATATTGTTAGCTCAATGTTTAAATCCATAGAAGCTAAAGAACAGGTCTATATTGTTCATGGGCAGGATTATACCTCTAACGGCAATGACATATCCATAGCTCAATGTATAGTGCTTATGATCTTTGATTCATAGAATGGATTCAGAGGCATGGTTTTTATAGGTAGTCTGAGTATTTTCCTCGTACTTAAGCTAGCTTGAACAAAAAAAAAGAAAAAGAAAAAGAGAGAATTTTTAGGTCAAAAGCAATGGCATCCGATTCAAAAATAAAAATAAAAAAGTTAAATCATGGCATGGAAGATATATACTACTCCTGATCATGTGAAAAATTTCAAGTATAAATTCTTAACGTAAAATCGGGGTTCCTTTCCAAGGTTATTTGATTGATTGTATTATAGTGGCGAATAAGAAGCTTTCTATCGGCGAGGCGATGTCTGATGGGAAAATCTATCAAATAATCATAAAAAAACTTATTGCTAGGTGCAGGTCTCTAATAGATTTTTATATGTCAGCACACTCTCGCGAGCAAACTTGATATTTAAATGGTTGAATATCTTACAGGTTTTTTTTATTTAAAAAAAACGTAGATTTGAGTTTTAATTAAAAGAAAAGAGATTTTTAACATTATAATTTTCTCTTTTATTATGTATCTTTAAGCTTTTTAATTAAAAGAAAAAAACACATTTCCTTTTATAAAAAGGCTTCTGAAACTTAGTGTGATGGTTAAAATAGATACACCACTACATTTTTCTCTACTTTTAATTTTGTATAAAAATTTAAAGTTCATGATTATTATATTAGAAAATAATATAAATTATATTTTAGAATCTCATCTAACAACTTAAATTATTAAATTGAATTAATATTTAATATTATATCAAAAAATTAAATAGTTATGATTTCAAATCTTATTATCCATATATATATATATAAAAATTTTAAGTACAGGATAATCTGAATCTATTCAAGTTTTAAGTTTAATTAACTTTTATTTAAATAAGTATATTAGAAAATAATATAAATAATATTTTAAAATTTTATTTAACAATTTAAAATTTTTAAATTAAATTAATTATTTGATAACTCCAAATATCTGAATAAATCTTCTCATAAAATTAATTTTGTATATAAATTTAAGTTTGAGGTCTCGGATACCAAAATGTGTGTGTGTGTGTGTGTGTGTGTGTGTGTGTATATATATATATTGGAGCATTGACTCGTACTTTCAAGTGGTTACAGTACTATTAATTAGTTCAGCCGCTATAACATATGAAAGAGAAAAGGGTATCTAAGGCTTCGTTTATTTGCAGGAAAGTTGTTTCCATTTAAAAAGTAAATTTCAGAGAATGTGAATTCCTATAAAATGAATTATTTTCTGATATTTGACAGTATTATGAAAAATAAACTGAAAAATATTTTCTAGTATTAGGGTGTCCAAGGCTTCGTTCATTTGCAGAAAAGTTGTTTCCATTTAAAAAGTAAATTTTAGAGAATGTGAATTCCTATAAAGTAAATTATTTTTTGATGTTTGACAGTATTATGGAAAATAAACTGAAAAATATTTTCTAGTATTTGGTTATGTTACAAAATTGAAAAAAAAATATAATTTCATAAATTATCTTAAATAAAATAAATAATAATCAAAAT